TCATGGATACTTTTAGGGTGCACTTCCACACAGTCCCATGATTGATTGATTGATTGATAATATTTGTAGTGCATCTTTCTTCCATTACAGACTATGGTCCCCTAGTGGTCTCCTATCCAGGGCTTGACCAGTCCCAGACCTGTCTGGCTCATGAATCAGTACAGCGGCCTTCCCTGCCTCTAGAGGTTTGGGACTAAAACTCTCAACATTCCTTATCTTTAACCAGATTGGCTAGTCAATGGGAGATGCAGTCCACAACATCTGGAGGGCTCCAGACTGGAGAAGACGGCATTATGCTTTGTACAGGAAGTAGAAATAGAGCACTGTAGGAGTTCCTTCCAGTCGCATGGGACCTATTGAAAACAGGTGATCTGACCATCATGAAGACAGGGTAAAATGGCAGCATGACTTCAGTCAACATGTATAGCCAAGTACACTTTCAGCTCTGGTCTACCTTAAAGTCCCTACATCTATGGTGGACAACTTGAGCCCCTCCCTAAGTTCTGACTCTCCCTTGTCATGGGCTATTCTGTCTTGGGCTGATGGGAACAGCAGGCAAAAACATCTGGTGATCCATTGCTGTTCTGTATGTGGATGGCCTCGATCTTACTTTTGCACTCCTTAGGTTGCACTCCAGCCTAAATGCCATGCATGTTTGTGAGCTGATCCACATGACTCTTGACACTGGGCAAAACCAGGCAGCATTCAAAATATGCCAAGTGAAGGCTGGTGACATTAGTGCTCAGCTATAAGAAAGATGCCAATACAAGCAAATCTCAGGAAAGCAGTCGAGGCACTCAAGCTGCAAAGCCATTTGCACCAGTTCTTGGTGATTTGAGAGGCATTTGTTTGCAGACTTTGAGAGTAGGTTTGTCTTTAAGCAATACTGTAAACTGCCCAGAGGGCTTTGTAAACCACCCAGAGAATGGCAGCAATTGCATGGTGTAGAAATGAAATAAATAACAACAGCAACATTGTTCTCCACAAGGAGATCCAGGTTCCCATTCATGTGTTTGCACTTGCGGGACTAAGAATGCAATTAATTTTACATATCTTCCTGTAATTTTGATTGGAGTTATAGCTATTTCAGGACAGTCTTTTCTGAAAGAGATGCCCACTTGCAAAAATGCCCTACAAAAGACACATAGGAACTTCACGACACTTTGCTTATCTTCCAGAACTGTTTGAATAAAGCAAAACCTTAGTGGGGGATGCGAGCAATTAAAGAACCATTAAGCTTACACAGATGAAACTTGGAGGGGAATAACTGCACACACTATTATTACACATTAGAAATAAGTCAGCCACAGTTATGCTTCTTTACAGGTCATGCATCCTACTTTATGCAGGGCAGTCCTCTATTTTAAAGAGCTGGCAGAAGACATCGATCTGACGGGCTGTCCGGTCCAGGTTTGGTTTCAAGATCAAGAGCACTGAGAAGGGGCTGCCCGTCAGCTGTTAGCCCTGGGACGGCAGGCCGAGCAAGGCACGTGTCTCATCTGGTCACTGTCTTCCTCACTCTGCTGAGCTGCACTGCTTTTCCATTCCAATAGTCATTATTTGTAATGACTGTAAGTGCCCAAGTCTGCACATAATTAGAGCATGCAACATTTACGCAAATGCTGTATTTTGTCCTCTATGCTGCTGTTGCCTTCCCTCTTTTTGGTCCATTTGTGAGTGACCACCCTAGTTACACACATCTTTCCCTGAACAATCATATGTTAATCTGAAAAAGAATAATTACCAGTGGCGAGTACCAAATGGAGGGGAGTTGGAAGAATTCAAGTACTGCATATCATGAGTTCTATTTTATTTTTTAAAGAGCATCTAAATAAGACAGATCTCCCCCATCAGAAAATTCCCAGCGTGCTGCTTTTCCCAATCACCTCCTTTTGAAAAGACAAGCACATGTTTTCAAGCAGGTGTGAAAGAGCCAGGACACAAACAAGGCGATAAAAGACAGAACAGTTCTCAGAAGGCACTCAGGAGGCCTCATCATAAGCATGACACATCAACTTCAGGCAGGCCGAGACACTCCACCATTATCTAGTTCGCAGATGGACCACCCAGAAAAGCTGGGGGCAATTAGGACGGAGGAAAAACAAATGTGCTGGGGAAGAAGGGAGGAGGGGGCATCCTCACGGGAAGGGGAATGGGCCAAGGGCTGGCAGGGATCCTTATACCGTCTGCTTGTGAGCATTCGGAGAATGAGCGGAGCCCATGAAGAAAAGGAACAAAGATGAAAGGGCTTGGAAAGAGAATGGAATGAAATAAATGGCTAGGAAAACATACTATCTGGGAATAAATCACAGAATGGGAGTTGAATTTCCAGAATGCCAAAACAGTAAGTCTGAGGAAAGCTGATCTCTCCCTCTCACACACATACACACACAGAAAAGGTTTGCACACTGAGTTAAGCACACTCACCCACACATGCATGCACAGCCTTTCAGGTGACAATGACCAAGGAGGCTTCATAAACAAAGGCTAGGATCCAGAAAGGTGCATATGGAACAACTGGGGCTGTGTGTAAACAGCTGAAATCCTTTGGATTAGGTGGACAGGGTGGGAATGAACCTCAGGCCTCTTCACTCCTCCCCTGCTGCCACTCAGCACTGATAAGAAGGGCTACAGCTTTTTAAGAACTGCTCAGTCTCCACAGCACTGGGAGATGGACTGGAGACTGGAAGCGTCCGTATCTACACACGTTACATTCACAGGTAGGGAATCCTGCTGTCTGTGGCCACAGTAGGGCAACTAGCTCAATCAGGGTGTAAACATTCAGTACACAGTGACCACAGCAAGTGACAGGGGCATATGACACATAGGCGGCATGTCTCCCTATCCTCCGTTTTTATTCATGCCCGCCACCTTCAAATTGCCACTGTTGAACCACTCCAAGTTTTGACAGTGGCGAGAAAAAAGTCACAGTGGCAAGAGAAAGTGGCAAGAAAAAAATCCCCTTTACAATCAGCAGCATGCTCCTTGTTTTAATGGAAAACTATGCTTCCCTAGGGCTTCTGGGAGAAGAATTTGGCATTGAAACAGGTTGCATGTTCTTCAGATGTAGCCTTTTTCTCATTGCTTTTGACCCACCCAACTTGCCACTCCTGTTCCTACATGGCTGTTTGCATCCAGTGTTAGTCCCATTCATTTAAATAGGTGTACTCTAAGTAAGAGTAATATGGGATACAGATCATGGTAATTCCAAGACATAAAATAAATGCTGTGGTGAAAATGAGTGATCAAATAAATAAGGTAATATCACAGGTATGGTAAAAATATCCATGTTGTCAACAGTGAGAATTTGTACAACCAGCAACACAACTGTGGGGGTTTGAGAATGAAAATGCAGAAACCTTCCATACTGTTTCAAGGAATACACTCAGCTGAATGATGGTAACAAACAGGCTAAAATAGAAACCAGAAGACCTTGGTACCTTTTAGTTATATTACCATGAGCACAGTTCACTCTGACTTGAAGCAACAAAGTTATAGGGTTACTCCACTCCCTTCAGCAGAAGCAATAATATGGCAATTGGTCTACCGCACAACAACTGCTGATGACCCTGCCCCTGCCCCTGCCCCTGCCCCAGCGGGGTGGGCTCTTCCTCTGAAGTCCCATTCCACTCAGGTTGCTCGTTTAGAAGGCTTGCTCCAATCCTGCTTAATTATTGTAAAGCTCCTCCACAGGTCACACGGTACCATATTGTTTGAAGAATACAAGTGTTAGTGATAAAGCCGTTTTTGAACTCGCAGCGCTTTCCCATTTGCTGAAGCACAACTGCATTCTAAAAAGGATGAAATGAAACTGTCTGAAGAAGGGACGGGGCGGGAAGCCTCCCTAGAATTCTCTTTCATAGCGTTCACATCAGACAAAAGTCTCCGCACAGCACACACACTCCTGCACAATGAAGAATTCAGTAACAGCAGTAGGTTCTGTATGGTACGGTCACAACAGAGAAGCACAGACATTATTGCCAGAGTGAGAACACTGTTAATTATACCACTTGAAGCCGAAAGTGGAAGAAGCTGCAAGGGAGACTGGGCTGTTGTTGCCTGGCCAAGTGTTCCACTCTGGATGCATTGAACTGCAGCTCCTATCATCCCTGGCACATCTACAGGGAATGGGTTTGGGGAAGGGTGCTCTACACAGAGAAATTGGTGTGGAAGCACAGAAATGTTGCATCTGTGGGAATAGGGTTATTGCTGCCCTGCAGGGTTGTGTGAATGCTTGATGGCACCAGTGTGTGTGTGTGTGTGGGGAGGGGGATAAGGAAGGCTGGAATTTGAAAAGAAGACACACTGGTCTAGTTCCAAAAAACTGCATGTCTAGTGCCATGCAGTCGAGGCATCGTAGCCACTGTGCCTGACTTGTTGGAGGAGGCTCATTCTATGGCAAGGGTTATCAGGCCCAGAATCAAAGGAAAAAGGCTATCACTGAATCTGAGCTTAACCCACTAAGAACGTCTTTAATATTCTCCCTGCAGAAATGAACTGTACTAATCTTGCACAACTCCAGTTTGTTGCATGCAGGCTTGGAAGCGAATTGTTTTGGATAGACATAACCAGTTGCTTTCTTTTTCCATCCCCTGCTCTTTTATTTATTTTTTTGTAAATGATTTTGACACTTTCTTGTTCAGAGGCACAATTAATCAATAAGACAAGATAAGCCAACATCAAAAAACAAAATTAAAAAAAAATGAAGCCACCGGAAATAAGACTCGGATCCACTCCATTGCCCAATGAAAACATTGCATGCAACCATGCAAGAAAAACTATGCAGAGTCTTGGATGTGGCTTTGTTTACCAACATATGATGGAGGGTGGAGTGAATAATGGAAGCTTTTTAATGAAATAAAAATAAAGCAAATAAATGGGTAAAGTTGACGAGGAGCCAAAAAACCCCATCAAGTTGCAATGCATGGAAAAAATAATAATGATGGGGGGAGGGGGAAATTGATCTGGCATGCTTCCAGTTACAATGGAACAGCCCCCACCTCTTTCCATTACTATCACGCAGCATAGCTTTTCTCAGTTCTTTGGACTTAGCTTCCAACTCTTGAACCTGCTCCAGCAAAGTTTTATGGTAGGTATGCTTGGCCCTGTATTGCAGGAGAAAGACACAAAACAAAGAAACCAACACATCAACTTCCATTGTCTGTGAAAGGCTCAGTTCTTTCTGCTCAGAGCCGTGAGAACAATACAGCTTCTTGGCAGGTCCAGCCCAGGCCATGATGGGTTGCCCCATGTTTACTTGGCTTTTTATGGTTGTGGCATTTGCAGAATTGCAGAGGGTTATTTTTTGCAGAGGTGCTAATGAGTAGGACCATCCCATGCTTATCTGTGCAGTTGGACTGGCCCTGACCTTCGGAAGATTTGGAAAATTAGACAATGAAAGAAAAATAGAAGTGAACGAGCTAGTCTAGCTTAACAGTACACCTGGGAGATCACAAAGCAGTTTGCCTTAACAGAACACTGCCCCTTTATTTAAAAAATAGAAAAGCGACTAGTAGCCAAAATGGCTGTGTCATCAGGCTCAAGGGCCAATCATTCCATCAGGAGGGAAGGAATTCATCACATATTCAAAAAAGAAGAACAGGATTCCAGTGCACCCTTTGAGCAACTTGCTCCAGTAGACCGAAAACCTGATGAAATTCTTTGATGATTACAACCACTCAAATCTTCTGGGTTTTATTGCTTTTTTTCTTTCCTAAATCTTAGCCTTATGAAGATGGTTTCCTCTCCCTTCTTAAAATGCTACTTGCAACGAGACAGACAGACACAAAGAAAAAGAAAGGGGTGACTGTACCCACAACCCTTTGTGTACAGAGAGGACAGAAATATGCACCACCGGTTCAAAGACAATTTATAAGTGTAAATGTTTGTATCTTCAGAATAACTGACAGCTTTTATGCCAGTATTCACTGAGTTAAAGAATTAAGCTCTTGTTCTGTCCAAATACTGAGAGAAGAGCAAATATCTTGGTACTGTTTCATCACCTTTCTTCAATCAGCACTTTCCTTTTCACATTGCTTAAAGAAAAACACAAGTAAGTCATGAGATAACTTTGACTGGCATGAATCCACACAATACTTGGAAAACAAAATGCAAAACCAACATACTTGGGAAGGAGATTATAGATTTCCAGTATGATACATTTGGCTTCAATTCACTGGGCTGCAGCAACATAGTATAGGCAGGCCCAGACCAATATATTTTGCCACCTCAGTGGGTGGATGGCCTGGCTGGTGGGCTCCTTGGTGGGTGGGCTGTGAACCAACAACTCTTCCCATTGGCCAGTCAGCTGACTGGCCAGCTGCTCACTTCAGCTCCCCCTGCCTGCTTGACCAACTGGCTGGCACTTGTTCTTGCCTTGTTCCCCAGGCTGTGGGGCTCCCAGGAAGTCAATCTCCTGGGAGACCTGCCCCATGGATGCAAGGTAGGATGAGCGGGTGCCAGTCCGCCAGGCTGGTGCACCCAGCAAGTTGCTCTAGAACATCCCGCTTAAGGAGTGTGGAGGCAGGGCTCTCCAGGGCACTCTTTGGAGGTGGCAATGGACCCTCCTGGCAGAGGTAACGGGAGGAGGAAGAGCGGAGCTGTCCAGTGCTCGTCCTGTTCCGTCACTTAAGGCCAGTCGTGAATACAGGGACCTCCGAACTTGTCAACCAAAAATGTATTTGAGGTCCCTCTCCAACTGTATGTATGTCAGATGTGAGTCTTGGTTATGGAGGAGAGAATTTGGAAAAGGAACGGAAGGACCGTTGCAGCCATTAGTCTTTTTTCCTATTTTGTGCTGGGAGAGAATTCAAGACAAAGGACACATTTGCACACCCTGCAGTTGAACCTGATGATGCAGAACCTGAGCCTCCCAATCTGGCCTTCCCACCCTCCCAGTCTGGCCTGCTGAGGCTCCAAAGAGGTACACAATCCCTGTGGGCAAGTACGATATGGATGAAATTTCTGTGATGCATCTTTTGAGGTGCAGTCTCTTTTTTTTTACTATATATTATAAAAATTGCTCCTGATATTTTAATTGTATGCCAAAGGGACCACTATCTAACTTTCAATAACTATCTCAATTCTAGTATTTTTGAAAGCTGAAATCACTGTAGCATTATGTACTGCATGTGCTACCAATATTATGATTTTTAAAAAGAAAAGAGAAATTGCCATACTTTAAAAACTCCTTTAACTTGGTTCTAATCAAGGTTGTCCAACATTAACTTCATTTTTTAAAAAAATTTATAAACCACACCAGTAGTCCTAATTAATTACTCATTAATTAGAATGGAAGCAGTGCACAAACACTAGACTGGCTCATCTATGCATGCTCATTACTTGAGAAGCGTAACATGCAGTCATGGTTTGCATGTATGAATGAGCCAGTAAGACACAGTACTTTTCAGTGGACAGTAAAGATGACCATGAAGAGTCAGTACTTTTCTTCCTCTGATCAATGAGGGCACCTTCATTGACTGGAATGGTATAAACCTTAATATTTTATACTTAAGGCTAAGAATGTTCAGTCACTCGGTGTCTCTTCTGAAATGGCAATTCTTTCATGATGGAATCTCACTGAATCTGCCACTAGATCCTGCAAGCTTTGCATCAGCATAAGGATGCCTAGGACATGCATTTAGATGCATCCATAATTATTCTCATCTGGAAACTGGGAAATTGCTGTGCTCTTGAAAATACAAATAGGGTTGTGAGACCTGATGGAGCACACTGATATCGTTTTGTAAAAGAACAGGAATAGCAGCACAGCCATCCATTCTCAAACATGAATTCTTTGAAGAATGTGAAATTACCTAGAACTGCAAAAAAATTAATTAGATTCAAGTTGCTGAAACTTCTTAGGCTAATTATTAAACTTGGCTTTTCTGTTAAGAACTGAAAGTTTGGAAAGTTTTTCTTAGTAGATAAAACCCACTTGAATCTTTGGACTATTAACTCTTAATAATCTTTCCTACTTTGCATTTACATTTCTCTTAATTTAATGAAATACATTAAAAACATTGACCTTGAACTCTTCTGCTGCTTTTAAGAAAGGCAGTCTTTAATAGACTGAAGTGAAACATGTATCACTTAAAAAGTTCTGTGTGGCTTCCTCCTACGCACTTTACTCGGAAGTAAAACCAATGAGACCAATGGGACATAGCCGTGGAGTCTAAAGTCCTGATCCTATGCAAACCTATCTGGTGGTACATTCCAGGAGTTGCAGCCCTTTGGAAGAGATGTTGAATGTTAGGGCTACACCTTTCGAATGCCAACTTTTACAGAAATCAAATTTGTACTCCACCTCTCCCTTTCTTTCCTGTTTCTGTTGCATATTTCTACTCCATCTTCAAATTGTAATAGCAAAAATTCTAGATGAGTTCCTAGTACCATTACAGGGTCAGCTCTACCATTAGGCAGAGTGAGGTGGCTCATATCCCTTGGCAGAATCTGGAGCCAGCATTAAGCAACAGAAAATGAGCCATTATCTCATTTCTGATTATATTTTCATTACTATACGAAAGAGCCCCATTTGGATTCTCTTCCTAGGCATGAAATGCCCTGGGCTATCTCTGCTGCAGTGTCTGATTCAGGCTATTAAAGAATGTTTAGGTATGCAAATAGGTATATACCATCACATCAAGATAAGTCAATGGCACTGATGTTTAGGGTTAAAACTTCGCCAAATGCTGAGCAAAATGAGAGTACACTGGTGATATTATAGGGATGCAGAAGGCTGGCTTATACCAAGTCACGTCTTTGGACCATCCACCTTTGTATTGTCTACTGGCCTACCTTAACCTGCAGATGCTTTGGACTACAACTTGTATTGGGCACACCCAGCATGGCCAATGGTTGTGGATGATGGTGGGTATAGTCCAAAAGTGCTGCCAGTGCTGAGGAAGGCTGCTGAATACTGATTGACTGTGGTTTTCCAGGGTTTCAGACTGGCGTCTTCCCAACTGTGCCACTGGAGATGATTCAGGATGGTCACTAGAATGGCCTCTGCATGTAAAACCTAACAGTGCTTGCTCATCTCTGTTTGATTCAAATTGTAGAATTCATATTCTGGATCTGCTCAAATTGCAGTCTGCCAAGCTGAATGCAGCACATTTGCTCTGTATCAGTGGTTGCTCACCACAGTCTTGACTTTGTTGTTTTGCTCCTTTTTTTTGGCCTCCAGAAATGGGAGCTTGTCAAGCACTTTGCAGGCCACAGCAAATGGCCGGCTGGCTGTTTTGGGCTTGCTGGGTCACAAATTGTGCACAATCATTTACAGCACCTTATATTTTATAAGACAGATTTCACAGTATGGACAATGTATTGGGATGGGCTTCTGCAATTTCTTTTAAAATGAATAAATAATAACGAAGTATTGATCCCAAGAAAGTCTGGGGACTCTGAAGCTGTCTAATCATTTTGGCTTAGCCCAGCCAGCAAAGACCATGATGAGGGTTCCTGGGAGTTATAGATCCAAACAACTGGAGGGCAAAACTTTGCCCCTCCCCTTTACACAGTATGACTTGTCACATATGTAAGCAAATCACACTTATCTCAATAAAATGTCCTCTTTTTAGTTTTCAAAACTGATCCTAAATACTATGATCGTTTCCTGGCTACCTGTCTATAAATACAGGGATACAAAGATGAAGAGCATTATCAGTTTACTGATAAGCTTTTTTCTGGAAACTTTCCAGAAATGGTCATGTTGATTAAACTCACATCTGCAATGACACATGGTACAAATCAGTATTTAACTTCAACAGTCCTTGCAAAACTCCTATCTGCATCAGCAGGAACAGAGAGTGAAGTTTCTTTCATAACCAGGGAAAAGGTACTAACTGAATCTTGTCCATACATAAATAAAGACGTGTACTTATTTCTTACTACTTACAAGCCAGTTAATCTATGCAGGAAGCCAGTTTTGTTAGCCAAATGGGTCAGACCTTTTTAAACCTGACTGCTCAGGACTGGAGTACTTCCAGGCCAGGAGCATTCCATGCCCTCTGGTGATGGATGACCAACTCTGGCTAGGGGGAATCTGACTGGGGTCGGATGTGGTCTCTGGGCTGCCACTTAGCCAGCACCGACATAGTGGAAGTGGAAGTAAAGTTGAAAACTCAGGAAGAGAGTATTTCTTGGCAATGTATAAATTATTACTCAAGTGAAGTTTTATTCTATTTAGCCATAGGCAATTACAAAATTTCCAAAAGGTATAATGAAAAACTAGGAAAATCAGTTAAGAACAGATGTTAAAATTGAAAAAAAGTAAAAAACTAGTTTAATTGCTCTCAATTAGCTACCCCTTCAATGCCACCTTTGATCTAATCTTCATAGCTGCCAAATCAAATATAAACTATTAGAACAGAGGAACTACTGAAATTTCTATATTAAGTGGGTCAAACAACACAACAACTCAGGGTATAGATTAAAGTGGTCATTGAGGCATGGTTTGTTGTGGAATTGTGTGCTGTTATTTGAGCCCAGGTTTGTTAACATTAAACTAACCAGAGTTTCCAACAAATAACAAACCATGGCTTCTCTATAGGTTTTTTGGGATTAACAGTCATGGATTCCTGATTTGGGTTCACACAACAATCCACAATTCAATAAAAACCTACAATTCAATGACAACCCATACCCTGGGTTGCAATATTGCGTGAACAGCTCCAGTGTCTGAGTGGATGAATACCAACAGTCAGATTACTACTACCTGTTCCTTCCACCATAATTGCCACTAGTTAAGTGACTATATTTTTGTTTAAGGGCATGAATCTAGAAAGAACTGCAGCCTCTGGTGGTGAGCACTCCAATCATGCGGCCACAAAGTCCCTCTTCTCCTTGGCTATGGTGGCCTGCAGAGCCTCATGTGTACACAAACACACATACTCAGTGTGGTAAGAAACTATGTGATGCCAGTTTTAAGAGGATATGTAAATACTATGATACTGATCATGTGAATTCTCTCATTCCCTTCAGGTGGGAAAATGAACTAGAAAGGGGAGCAGTGTGGCCCAGGAGTAGGAGTGATGCTTTTCTTCATTGGCCACTCCTTCTCTGCAGTGTGTTGGACCTGAGACGTAAGTGTGGCTTTGCATTGTAATGGAGCTAAAGAAGTTAAATTCACCCTAAAGCTATATAGTGCTGTATGAAGAGAAAGGACATATATTGCCATGTCCTTGTGATCTACTGTCAATCGGACTGAATGACATTCCCATGGGCCATTAAGTCTGCTGGTGATTGGTTCTTATTTGGGTCACCTGTGACCCCTCCACTGAATACTCAGGATGTACAAGGTCAGCCTCTCGACCAGTGATGGGCTCAGAGATGCTCTGATGAATTCATCGGCCAGCTGAATGGCAGGTCTTTCCACGGTGGGCCTTAAAGGCAGTCAGAATCAGTGACATGCGTATTGCTGTGCAAAAGACCAAGTGGGCAAAACGTCCCTGTTCAGCCTCTGCCAGCTTCCTGATTTGTATATGACTAATGTGAGTGAAACACTTGGATGATCACACTATAAGCCCGGTTTCCTTTTCCCAGTTGATTAATTATTGCACAATTCTCTGGAAGCCATAAAAGCTGCACCGATCAATAAGCAGCAGGTGTATACTATGCTGTTGGCAATGTGCTCTGTTCCCCAGTTCATTAGGAAATAACTTTTGCTGGGCATTTCGGTGTGTATGACTTCAGAAAATTGGAAGCAGAATGTCAGTTACTCAGGCAATTAGACTTCTATGGAATCCTGAAGTACATACCTGTTGTTTAATGTAAAGGATACAGAATCAACAATTGTTCAACTATTTTAAAACCTGGCTTTTAGCTGGGAGGGCAAACCAGGTATGATGGAGGCCTAACCTGTGTGTTAGATAGTGGGCTAGGCTACTTCCTCCCAGCTGAGGAGGTAGCACTGAAACATAAACTGAGACTAGAAGTACCAGGAGAAAAATAGCTGGCGCAGGTCACTGCTGCTTCATTTGACTACAACCCACATTCCAACACATCTAGAGTGTTTAAAGACTGCAGGATTTTGCAGTATGCCATTGTTGCTCTTCCAGGGTAAACGGCATGTACACTGACCAGGTTCAGACAACACACTGCAGCTTGTCATGGGCCATTTGACCCATGAGATGCCAGAGTGCCTATAGGCACTATATTGCATATGGCAACCCTAAAAACAGACCACAATTGGTTTGGATTCCTAGGTTTTACTTCTGGGGTCACATGGTATTACAACCTGGAACCAGGGGTTGCATATTCAGAATGGTGGTTGAACATGTTCAGCATGCCCTGCAATCTCACCATGGGCTAATTAAGCCACAGTGGACTGTTGTGTTGTGCAAACATCCCTAGCTGCAGTTTAATTTCCATATTCTGGCCATGTTTTTTCAGGAGATCAACTCCATTTCTGGGGCATTGCCAACTTGGGGGTGGGGGGTGGAGATGGTGGTCCTCTAGAACTTGTAAGTCTGCTTTTTATGTGCCTCTGGCAGGGATTAAGGAGGTACTGGAGCTGCATAGGCAATGCGCACCTACAAGCAGAATACAGCTCTGCTCCTGGAGCTGTACATGCACATATGATGTCCCCGATCATTTGTTTTTATTATATACACTAGGGGTGCTGAACCACTTTCAGTCTGAAGGCCAAATTCCATTCTGGAGAAGTTCTCAGTGTCTGCATTCCATCGGTGGACAAAGCTGAAGCAAAAGGGGTGTGACCCAAATGCCAGACATATTTTCACTTAAAGTTCTTAGTGCCAGCAGTTAAGTCTTAGCAGAGGCATTTCAGCCCTCAGAACAGGGGGAAATGTGCAAGAAATGGAAACCACCCCATGATGGATGGATGGTGGAAAGGAGGGGAGGGCAGGAAATTGGTCGTGGCTGTCTAGGGAATGCGGAAGAGCTGGTCTGGGAGCTCAGGAGGGCCAGATTTGGCCTCCAGATCTGAGGTTTTTCATCCCTGATATCCATTTGTCTCTCTGTTATCTCCTTTTCTTGAGATTCTGTTATACTTTAATATGTGCAAGTAACTGAACTCCACAATGAGGTTATGTAGATAAGAACAGACCAGGAACAGGAAATGGTCAGCCTGATAGCACCCCCCCCGGAACTTACCTTCATTTCCTCATGTATAAATGTATGATTGCCTCTCACCTTGCGGGCTGTGGGGAGGGACGTCATCCTTGCAATAGCAACAAAACTTGCCTCCAGCTTAGACAATGGTTGGCCTGGCTTGCCACTGCCAGGCCTCTGTGCCACATAAAAGCTTCCCATCCATGCAAATCATACGTGGCAGTCATTATGCTAATATTATACAATAATCAGCTTTTGCCCCATCAGCATTTTCTCTTCAGAAACCTGGCATTCTGAACCCTCAGTTAGCAATATCAGTGCTGGGTAAGTCAGTTTTCCCTTCCTTGCTCCAGTCAACAAAGATACAAAAATCTTAAGCCAGTAGTGAAGACTGCAGAGAAGCTTGTTCCTTTCTGGAAACATTTTGCTCTTCCTTCTCAAGGCCCGGATTTAACAGATGAAAGCTATTGAGAATTTCCCTTGCACCAGCAATTGCCAAAATGGGTCCCTGGCAGAGAACTCAGGTAGTAAAGGTTCCATTCATGAGACTTTCCTAAATGTCTATGTCACTACGAGATAATAACATCATGGGTCATAGTCCTATGCAGTTCAGTTTCGTGTCACACAGACTACATGCGTAAACCTCTTAATGCTCAGCCACTTCATTCCATTGCAACAGCTGGGATATCTGTTGCTCCATCTATCAAGAACCATCTTGACATATTCCTTCAAATAGAAGCAGGAAAGCCATGGGGATTAAAGACATTCTGTCTGGTTCAGATGAAAAAGCGGCAAAGATACAAGCCCTCTACTGAAAATGCATGCACACAAAACACATGGCTTTTCATTTGGGAGTTCATACAAATCATTTTGTTGACCAAGCAGTGAATATTCATTATTAAGTATCATGCATCATTCTAGATGGAGTGTGGCTTTCATAACCATATTAATAATAGTGCCATTGGTATCAGTTTTTACACTGATCTGATCTGAAATAGTGTGTTAGCTAAACAAAGCAATGGTTGCTTATATACTGAGAAGCTTTTGTTGTGACGTGCTATCAAGTCATGTTAACTTATGGCAAACCTGTGAGTGGATGCCCTACAGCATGACCCTGTCCTTGGCAGCCTTGCTCAGCTCTTGCGAACTCCGGGCTGTGGCTTCCTTTATGGAACCAATCCATCTCATACCTGGTTTTCCTTTTCTTCTACCTTCAACTTCCCCAAGCTTTTACCAACCAGATAAAGAACCATTGTATTGCTTATGTGAACAGCTTACACCAGCTTATTAACTAAACTGTAGATATTTATCACTGTTAATATAAGCAGCTGTTTGAATAAAGCAGAAGGGTTTTTGGGTTTTTTTTTAAAATTTAAAATAAATGTTCTACAAGAGGTATAATTAATGTTGCATTCTTCCAACTTACGCTCTCCATGCCACATCTTTAACAAGGCACGCTGTGGGCACCAGCAATAAACCGAGCCAGAAGTATCCACATCTCAACACCATTCCTGCCTGTAAAGATGCAGCAATAAATGTGACTTTAATCATATTACATCATGTAATTGTATGGTTGGCTGAAATGAAAGTATAGGATGAAAACATTGCTAAAACCATAGTATAATATAAATGCAGAAAATCAACTGGTTAGATATTAATTTAGTGTTTTATTTCAATGAATATCCAAGTTGTTAGTTCTGGTTGCAACCCCATGATTTCAGGGAAAGTGGCATGGAATTGGGTGTTATCTATCTAAAGTTATTAATTTTGAAGAGCTGTCCAGTCTAAGCTGTCTAAAAAGCTGTTCAACACAAGTCTAGTTGCATCAGAAGGAAGACCTGGGCCTTGAAGTCATTCATCCACAGCACTTGAACAGCAAACAAAGCAAGGAACACAGGTAACCTGGTTGGAGTCTCACATGCTAGGATGAAGAATATGGTATTTCTTTTTAAATTCTGAGAGATGATTCTAGTTGATAAGTATATAAGTTTATAAGTATAAATTAGCACTTGCAAATTGTATGCACATTGCTGTCCTCTGTGGCATATCTTTTCCTTTGTCAATTCAGAAGTGTTCCCCTTAGGTGCTGGAGCCATGAAATGTTTTGGGTCTCCTCCGCTGCTGGTAGAGAGAAAGACTTGGCCTTGGAGGCTTAGAGCTGACTGCTGAAGATTGCAGAAAAGTCTGATGTCCGGGAGCACAAAAATGAGGTGTTTTGGGAGAGACTGTAAGTCCACAGCAATGGGGGTAGGAATGCGCCAGCGCAGGAGCACACATAGTTCATTTCCCTTTCACTGGCCCTTTCCTTTGTACTCTGCAGCCCGACTGCCCTTGGTGGTGGGCAGGTGGGAAAGGTCTCTTTTCCAGGGGTCCCTGGGAGTGTGTGGGGTGCTTGCATGAGAGAAGGCAGACCTCCCCAAGTTACTTGGTCCTAAATCATTTAAGGAAATAAAGGCATCCTAAAGATTTAGGACACAATCACATGTTTAGACACAAAAAAGTCCAACAATGCCTAGCATTCCCCAGTGACTGCTCTGCTGATGTATATCCTGTCCTCCAACCTGATGGATTCATGGCAATCGCAAACAAAAGATGGCCCATCACAGGTATGCCTCCAGTTTCCTGCATTTAATGCATCTGGATGAGAAAGGAGGAGAATCACACCTATGCAATGTTATGGCAGTTGCTTGGTTTTCCTTCAGAGAGAAGTTGGCCACACATGGCTCTCAATAGATACTTCTTTGCCCAAAAAGTGGCACCACAGTTTGTTTGGTGTCCCAGTGAAGTATATTATTACTGAGTTAGCTCTGTTAATTGAATGGACAGTCGATCGGTCCAGATGGTGCACAGGCTGAATAAGACAGGACAGGTTTTCAATGCATCCCTGGGTGACTGTGACTGATGTTTCTTATGGTGTGACCGTTCTATTTGGCTGCTTTGCCAGTAGCTGCTTTACAATTCAACTGTATTTAGCAACAAAGATGACATAGCAGCATAAGTGCTAGACAGGTGCTTTTCAATGCATTTACTGTCCCTTTGATACTAAATCCTTCGTGCTGCTGCAGGAATGGCACAAGAGTGGTAAATCTTGTTCGGCAGTTGAAGATAAGATACAAGGCATGCTAAGACAGCTAGGGCTACTTTGAGAGCCCCTGGAGCAAGAAATAAACACATTCCACACTTGGAATCAGTTCTAACAGTGTAGGTCATATGACACAAATTCAATCCCAAAGCATTCCCATGCTCTACAGGCCAGTCTGTGAATGCAGCTATTGCCAGGGGCCAGCCCCACCGTTAGGCAGAGCGAGGCGACTGCCGCAGGCAACAGATACTTGAGGGAAGTGGCGGGAACTCCCTGGCGGCTCCTTATGAACACTCCAGCTGTTCCCCAAGTCGATGCACGCAGATCTGTGAGCCACATCACCTGTCCAGGAGCTGCTATATAGCCTGTCTGCTCAGATGTACTGGAGGATTGGATCTCACTGTCAGAACTGTCAGTTGGGTCAGTGCCTGCACATGGAGTGGGAGCAGGGTGGGACAGCCACTGAGACAGAGGAAGGGAGAGAGAGGGTCATCCCACCGAGTGTGTCTTGCCTACAGGCAGAAAACACCCTGGTACAGTCCTGGTTTACTACGCAATAGACACAGGGAACCAGCATGAGTGGGTGTTGTAGGTTTGTCTCTAGAAAAAATAATGAACACGTGAAGGACTCGTATTGGTACCAACAGTATAACAGTTGCATATCTGCAGAAAGGGTGTTGGAAATCGAGACAGCTTTTCACTGCACACTGACGATGGGCAAAAGCACTTATCCCTTTAAGAGTATCAAGCTGCCATTTTCTAATATAAACTATTATCCTATCTGCCAAACATGAGCAAAGTTCACATACCAGTGGCAGAAGATGTGCCACTGGAAGATGTGTTAACATGGGATGTGGTCGGAGGCTAACATTCCAACCCACGTGCTAACGACGAATTGGAATTTTGGTAAGAGGCGGCAGCTGCATCCTCACGGAGGGGAATTTCTTTGAAGATAGCCAGTGTTCTTTATTTCTGATCTTGGTGACAGAGTGACTTTTAGTAATCCATTTGCTGTGCAGGACATGCCCAAGCTATTTGCTGGTTTATTCATGACCCAGCATGTTTTTGCATGGGTGGCATCAGATTTGTGGGCAAGTCACACCCAAAGGATTCCCCTCCCTCAGTGTGTCTACTTTCTTACCACCACTGCCACCAAATTCTAACACCCACAGGTTTTTCCTCGTCATTGGTGGCCCTGAATTGGATGAGAACCAATGAGAACCCTGAATTGGACATTGCTACTACTTCTCTCACCACCAACATAGTCTGGGCTGCAATGGAGAAGAAAGCACAGGGTGTTCTTCTTAGGTGGTATGCCTGGGGGCAGGCCCTAAGTGAAGCTGGGAAAATATCAGTTCCTTCCCATGGTTGCAGGCCTGGAACTAGCTTGGATGAGGCAGAAGTGAGCTGCCAGCAGCAAGCCCAAGTAAACTACTTTGGCTGGCAGTTTCTGAAGGCATGGGGAGTATGCGTGGCTGTCATCATTGGTGTGAGTTCCAGGTAAGGGTTTGGGTTACAGTTCAGAAAATTTCAGTCACTATATATGTCTGAGCACCGGGGACAAGCTAGGATGGAATTGCAAAAATGAACTGCCTTCAGAAAAATGAAGTGCACTACTTCACAAGGCAGTAGGGTTTGTGAAAGTCAAAGGGCCTGCAACTAGCTCAGATGCGGCAATAAAAGTGGATTACCAAGAAAAAATGCTTGTCATTTCAAAATGCATAGGTAATATGATATTCTAAGCATTGGAAGTGAGCTCTCAGTTAGGATTGTTTGTTTGTGTATTTATGTATTTTTCTCAAGCTTTTCTAGGCCATCACAACAGCCACATGGATCCCTGGATGGTTTACAGCAATTAAAACACAATAAAACAAAACATTAAGATCCATAAACATTATCAGCAAATTCAATAAATAAAAGCATCTATTCCAACAGCAGGGAGACCAACCATGTTGACCTCATACAATGGCCAGATTGGACACATCTTAGATTGAAATACCAAGTAAAATTAGAATTAAAAAATTGAATTTAAACTGGCAAACATTAAAATACTCTGAAAATAAAAAAGTTAGCATTGGTGTTACAGTTCAAAAAATTTCAGTCCCTGTACATCTCTAAGGGCCAGTAACTAGTTCAGATTAGTCAGAGAAAGTGACCTGCAAAGTGAAACCCTGTTTTGGCTGGCAGCATCCAAATGCATGGAGAGTCTAAAGGTGTGCTTAACAATGGTGTTAAGCTCCAGGGTCAGAGTTTGGAAAATTTGGGAACCCTGTGCAAGGCTGAGGGTCAGGAATTAGTTCAGAGAAGGAAGAAATGAGCTGCCAAGAGAAACCCAAGTATACCGTTTGGGCTGGCAGTTTCCAAATGCACAGGTAGCATGTGAGGTTCTCATTATTGGACTAAGTTCGAGGATAGGTTTGTAAAGGGCATGGAATTAGCTGAAATTAAGCAGAAAAGGTGACCTTCCAAAGAAACCCCAGAACACTGCTTTGGCAGGCAATTTGCAAATGCAGGGGGAGTATATGGAGTCCTCAGCATTGGATCAAGCTTCACGTCAGGGTGTAGGTTGGGGCTAGTTAGGATTAGGGTTTGGAAAAGTTCAGTCCTTCTCCATGTCTGTGAGTCTTGAAATAACTCAGAACAGGCCAAAAAAGTGGGTTGCCAACTGAAATCTGAAGCACATTTCTTTGGCTGTTACCTTCCAATGCATGGGGAGGAGATAGGTCCTCAGCACTGAAGCAAACTCCAGGGTAGGGATAAAGTTGCAATGATTTCAGGCCCTGTGCATGTTCTAGGGCCTGGAACTAGCTCAGATGAGACAGAAAAAATCAGTTGCAACAGAAACAGCAAGTGTATTGCCCTGGCTAGCAGTTTCGAAATACATTGTGAGTAAATGAATGTGTCAAGAGTACTGTAAGCTCCAGGTCATGGTTTTGGCTGGGGTTAGGGTTTGGAAAAGTTCAGTTCCTTTCCATGACTATGGATATCCAGATATGGGTTGTACACGGCATTTTCCTCACTGGGATTTCTCTACTGGGTAGGGCTACTGTTAGGAAAATATCAGCCCTTGTGCAAGAGTCTTGAACTGGCTTGCATGTGGCAGAAACATGCATTGAGAGTATAGTATGTTGGAATTAAGCTTCTGGTTATTGTTATTGTTTGGACAATGTCAGGCCCTTTGCAAGTCTAAGGACCTGGAACTAGGCTGTATGAAGCAGAAAAAGTGAAATGCACAAGGAGACTCAAAATACTCTGCATTGACCAGTTGTTTCCACGTTAGGGAAGACATTTACATTTACCCTTATGATTCAGTTTACAATTCTAGTTAGGGTTAGGAAGGAGGAAAATTGCAGTCCCTGTGCATCTATCAGGGCTTCAACCTAGCTTGCACGTGTCAGAAATAACTAGGGGTTCATCAGAATGCCAAAGTGGA